TTATCTTTACCTCCTTAATGACACCAGAGTCAGTTTTAGTGATTAAAAGTGTTTTATGTAGCAGTTTAAACAGCAAAGGTTTTACTGTACTTACTGTGTGATACTTGACACAAGACACTGCCTGTGTCTTGCTGAAACAGGAGTAAATTATCAATTAGTTTTTCTATAAGCGTCCTTTCAGAAGACTCTGGTATCAGGTCTCTCATATTCCCCTCCATCAATACTGCTGCCTGTTGTTCCATGCTCACGCTTCCCTGACGAGTAATACATCCCTGAATCAATCTATGCTTAGGCAGCTTTAACATCTCTTGCTTTTCTCACAACTTGCAAGTTTGCTTACTAGACTTGTTGAAATGTTAAAGACGCTTTCGGCATGATCCAAAAACTCTTTGAACACAAGATACATTGAGACAACTTTTTACACCCAACACTATGGTATGGGCAACACATGGGAAGTGCTCAACTCCTGCCAACACACGATTGGCATTTACCACATTACTAGCATTAATAGTTGTTGCTCCACACACCTTGTCTTGGACATTCTATGAACTCAACATAAATAAAGCTACTGCTTCAATGGATATAGAGGTTTAGTCAGTTGTAACTTGTGTCTGAAGACACTTGCTTTGAAACTAAATATATTCATTGACGAAGTGAACTGTCAATGAAATGTATCCTTAAATTTTGTGCTGTGCTGTCTACAAATCAGTTGTGATAGAACACTTTTCGACGCTCTCTTGTTCTGTTTCAACAGACGAACAAATCTCAGTATCTCAGAGGAATAACTTTCTCAGCAAAGTGATTGCAATGTGGAAGTTAAAATGAGTTCAGCAATCTGAATTAGCTGTCTAAACCTTTCTTCCTCAACCATGGCTGTAGACTATGGCAGATGAAATCAGCTGTTGCTGTAACAAGCTCAGCATGCTTGAAGCAATCTTGCGCAAACACAGCTGTCTTAGCTCTGGATCCATGAAATGTTTATTGAGTCTTGGCGCAAGGCTCTGCTGCTACTTCTTTTTCTTCCGCTTGCTGTTCCTAAAGTGAACTCGTATGTGGTAAGTCAGGTTCATTGTGTTCCCCAAATAACCAATCAACTTACAACTCAGACAGCAAATAATCTTCTTATCCAGCACAGTGCTGTTTTCATCAGCGGCAAAGCCAAAGTTCTCCCATACTTTACTCATGACTTTAGGATTAAGCACAAGCTGGTCCTCCAGGCTAGAACTAGAACACCACATGTTTGTTTAACGATTACATCATAACCCCGTGTGCCACGTGCAAAATGTTGTGCACATGCACAGAAATATTGATACAGAAAGTCAGTGTATGATATTGTATTATGATCCAAATGTCGCGATAAATAGATATTGTGATATATTAAGGTAGCACTAATTTATATTATGCAATTGACATAAGCGTGCATAGATCTCTGCACATGAAAAAGTTGTATGGACAGGTTGAAACCTGCTTAGGGGGTCTGTTCTGGCTAGATAGAAAGCCATAGGGAGTTAATTAGACATAAATAGAGCTAGACTAAACTTCATGGAGCACAATTTACTGACAGTGAGATTTACACATTTTCAATTATGTGTAGTGCCAAGTGTAATAATAACACCAAGTAGTTTTTACCTTTTGTAGTATAGTATTATTCCAGTGCAGTGATATCTGTCCAGTTTTTAGGCTGTACGTAAGTAAAAGAGCCCAGTTAGTTAGCCACGAGGCACGAGGTGATATGGAATAGTGAAGTGGGCGTGTCCATACATACATAATTGGACCAGAGACTTATCACTCTCGCTATTCTGTGTAGGAGCAAGAAGTGCCATGAGTGTTGCATCAATTTCTTGCTGATACATCAAGGTTATTGTTGCTTACCTGGTATGGCTTGAGACGGTACTAAGTATGGTGTGATATTCCTTCTACAAAAAATGCTGATATCTGACTGATCTTCAGGATGATCTGTCACTCGTCTTTTGAACCACATTACTTCGGTCCTAAACTTAGTAAGAACATGAAACTCGAAAGAACAAATGAGGCATTCTTGTTCTTTTAAATGATGTATAATAAAAAAGTTTTGCAGCTAGATAAGGTTTTTTGAATGTCCATTTATTGGTGATGTCCGGTCATGCATAAGGTACTCCATATTCTATATTTCTTCAGTATCATTTATCTCCAAATTTTTCGTGTCTAATTAACAATGGTATCATATACATGGAGCTCATGAAAAGTTAGGCTCCTGATTATGATAATATTATGTCTTTATTGTTATTTTTGCTGAAATTTTGAATGGTTCAAAAGGTTCCAATTGCCTTTTGTATAGCTTCTGATCATACTCAATGAAACATTGAGTGAATTTACCTACTGAATAATGAATTTAATATTTTGGACGATGGTAAATTGCTTCGGATGCATGCAATTAAATTTTACTGGATTAGTCTTAAATGTCTCCATGCTTAGCTCAACTGTAGTATGTAACAATAAATATGTCTAATTTTGAACTGTGTCACCCTGCCTTACGTCACATGATAAAATCTCAATCATTCATTACGAAGAAATTACTAAGGGCAAGAGTGGATAGTTTTTTAAGGAGACTATCTAACCCACCTATAATATGTGATACCACAGCATGTATGTTTACATAGCATGGTGATTAGCACCACGTAGCCATTCTCTTGTCATTACATTGATTTCAAGTCAGAATGCAGCAAGAAAGAAATAGCCAACCATTAGAGGAACATGTTCCTGTCTGCTCCTGCCTGTTTCTCGCACTGTATGATCCACAGACTGGAGATATGTCTTAAAAGTTGGGTGCATGCTTAAAGTGCCACTTTACCAACCGCAGCCATAAGTTTGAAGATTAGTTACATTACTGAGTTTAACTCTGTATACTTTAAAAAATGAATGTAAACATACTCGCTATGGTATCACAGATTATAGGAAGGTTACTCTGTGCACTCTCCCTAAATAATTTTCCACTCTTGCTAAGGGCTATTCAAACCATAATAATGAGATTCAGCCAGCCTTTGCAGCCAAAAGTCTAGGAAGAGTTTGACCCAAGACAACAGAAACTAATATGACTTTAGTTTCTCTTACTGTGCTAAGATGTTAGTGTATGACCATCGTAATTTACTACTATTTACTGAGCCAAATAATTGCATAAATTAAAAGCCAATTTCTGGGCTATTTTTCATTACATGCACAATCAATTATTTTGTCAGTTGTATTGCCAATAATTAGTATCAAAAAATAAGATAAAAGCCTTTATTTACAACAATAACATTTCATTCTCTTTGTAATTGTTTGGGACTTTCATTTTGGTAATTCATTCTTTTTAAATATTTCTACTGCTTCATTGTAGCTTAATTTATATGTTATCCATTAGTGGTACATTCAATATCTTCAAATTTGCAAAAATAATGACTTGCAGTTAATAGTCTATTTTACCTTCGGCCACATTTTCAAGTTGTTCAAAACCAAGATTGGCTTTTGCAATATGACTCCTTCGAAGCCCAACAAGAAATGCTGTAGTTCGAAGTGCTAAAAATAATAATGACACATGCACCCACATGTATACAATCATAATATTTGAATTTTTAAATTACCATATTATCTAATTCTAGAGGCCACGAATCACTCAAATCTTTTCTTCTTTCATTACTTTGCTAAAGCCACTATGGACCAAGTAAATATTATGAAGGTGTGCCTATTTGCAATGATTCTTTATTAAGTAACATAGCTACTTCTTATTTACCTCAACTGAACTTCTAATAAAGTCTTCTTAACAATGAAATCTCTGTATCAGTACAGTTATTACATTAAAATTATTTCAAAATGCACTTGTCTCTTTTGCTCCTGTCTAAAACTGGATAGTTCTTAAGATATCACTTATTTCCCCAATCAAAGTTGATAGTGCAAAATAATATCATCACCATCATCCATCTCATTTTGTTTATTGAAAAAAATTGATGCCAGTAATCCTTTACTGTCAGGATCGTGTATAACTGTTATGAATAATATGACATAACCTCAGAGCTTTTATTATTATTATTCTCATCATTATTATACACATCGTTCATGAGAGGTTATAGAAAAGCGACCAGATTAAGACGGATAACTAGTTTCAAAGGTAGATTCAAAGTTCAGATTTACAATTTCATCTAATCCTATAATACGGTCAATTATGTTAGGATATAACTATAGTAAAGTATTATACTTTGCATACTGTCCTTCTGTTTTGCATGCTTCATTGCATTACTTTTATTCACATATAGCTTTAGTTGCATCAATCGTTGCAACCTATTATATAATCCAATATAGAAATTATGTCTCCATATAATCATTTTAATTTCTTTTATTTTTCAAATCATTAAATCTTAGCTACTGCTTCTCTGTATAACACTAAGAAAAAATTCCCTATGTTTTGATGTTATACCTACATGTCTGCGCTATAAGTTCTTTATCTTTAGTACTTCATCCAGCATTATATACAAATACTTCCTCTGTGTCAAGTAGTTAATGTAAGAGATATATTGAGTCACTTATACTTACAAGAACTATTTTATTTTCAAAATTTGGACATATAATCATGTATATTGACTTATTGTGTAAAAATTTTCAACAAGAACACATTTTAAACTAGTGTTTAACCTGTACAGAAAGTAAAGGATTCAACTTCTTAAATTCTGCTGCTTTTTTGGCCTTGGAGCATTCAAGTATAACGCAGACTGACACCATTTAAATTGCCACATAATAATGTAATTACATACAACATGCATCATTCTGAGACAATGTCAGTCAGTAATTACTTCACTGTATGGTTCTTTATTGTCGTGTCATATGCAAGTAACTGGAAAAAGCAAATACCATGCTGTTTAACATAATGATACATCAAAGTAATTCAAGTATATAGTTAAAGACTAGCTATACTTTCTCAGATAATGGTGATTCATTGCAGACGGTTGATACATCATCTAAAAACAGTTTAGTATCTCGTACAGTAATTATTCCTTTTGTTAATCCTTCCTGACTCCACACTGTTTCTTCAGTACTTGATGACAACTCTTTTATGCGTATTACTGCACTGCCAACTCATAATTTTCGAAAAGTTAGTCAAGTTAATATAAGTACCGTATTTCCTCGAGTAAAAGCTGCGGCGTCTATTTCATTTTTCCATCTGTAGGAGGGAAGCAACTATACAAGGGCAGCCATTGTTCGAGGGTGGCAATTATTATTAATTGTCATTAATTTTAAATTAATTATTAATTTTTACCATTAATACTCTTTTTAAACAAAATAATTCAATTTTCATTATGTCAATTACTACTCTACTACTTCCAGTTCCAGATCTGGAGAAAGATCACTCTCATGTTCTACCTCAGGCTGTAGGACTTTAGATGTTCCCCAGTGTCTTTGCATTATGAGCTACATGTACTTCACCTTCCTCAGGGAGTTTTCGCGAGTTGCATCATATTTCTTGCTTTGTGGGGTCAAATAGAAGCTCATGTTAATGGGAAAAGGGAATTTGGAAAGGTCCTAGAAGTACCATGCATCTATATCTTTCCTGGAAAGAAAAAACTAATCGATAGGATGAAGGAACTACTCGACTAAGACTCAACTGTGACTAGACGGCCATTTTACTAGTTAATTAAATACTTGGTTATTAATAATGATAATGAATAGTATTATAAGCAGCGTCTATTTGAAGGCGGCGGTAATTTCTTTGACTACCCTGGCCACAGGAAGCGTCTATTCGAGGGAGGCGGCTACTCTGGGGCGGCTTTTACTCGAGGAAATACGGTATCTTACAAGCCCACAAAATAATTTTTAGTACTTGAACTCATGCTTTTTCCACATAATCCTTGAAAAAGATTTTTATTCCATTAGTATTTCATATTACTATCTGCACTAATTAGTATATACTTGATTAAAATTCATCGGCCTTCTGTCAATAAATTTTTCAGCCTGTTGTATTATTAATTTTTGATGAAATTTATATATAGTAGATTTAAATTTCTTACCTTACAAACAAACACTCCACAATCAAATGTACTAGTTTGCACTGGTGAGTTACTCATCTATAAAATTGTAAATCTACATAAAATTATGACTGTTCACCAGAAAATCACAGTATGATCAACTGTTTCTGTTAAGTGTCATTTTTGACTCTGCACATATAACACCTGCCAATGCATAACCTGAAAATAATTCTATAGACTTTATGGATCATA